AAAATACAACAAAAAACCCAAAACCAATGTTTAAAGGTATCAACACTTTATACAAAAGAAAAACACAAGACAACAAACTGTGTGAACCTTCTTTAGAAGACCTCTCACAATGCTTTGCCAAATGCCTTGCAGCTGCATCACAAAAGTTATGTCTGACTAAACACAATGTACATGGCTGCTAAGTTCTCCTATGTAACAACAGTAATAATGTATATTCTCTCCCCATATCTAAAGTCATTTGGTGTATAAAAGGACTGAACTACTTTGAACAGAACAATTCCAATCATTCCTTTTTGTTTCCTTTTGATTTTGCTCTGACAAATGACCCCTGGGTACTAAAGGTCAGGAATTTGACTAAGCACCTTGTATGCTTATTATTCAAAGGTCAATATCATTATATATGATATATAAAGCTTTAACAGTAAATTGAAATAATCACCCATATGTCATAAACTGTTTTATGATTTAAAAATTAGTCTCCCATTATCATTTGACTTATCTGCTTCACAAGATCTCTATAAGAAGGTTGGGAAGATGGTTTGGCAGTTAAGAGGCCTTGTCCTTCCACAGGACCCATTTTCTGGATTTCACAGGCACCCATACATGTGGAACACACTCACCCACCACACCCCACACCAATACACACACATAAGTAAAAATAAATATTAGAAAATATTTCTATTAGAAGCAAAAGACATGGTAGCTCTAAAAGAGATCTGTGATGTCCAGAGGAATTTTTGATGTCTTGTGTTTTTTCTACTAAAATACTGTATAAGAAGGCACCAGGTTAACTTTAACAAATCACTGTGATGACTATCTTCCAGTTCTCAGTGCATCTTCAGTGCCCAATAGAACCTTCTTCAGATGAAAAAGTTTAGCTTCCCTTGACATTTAGGATGAATCATGTTGCTTTACTAGTTTTGTTTATGGGCATGCTTTAGTCACTTATGTGTTATCCTACAGCAGTCCTAGATTCTTGGTACAAGTTTTCTGTTGATTCCTGTACATGTTTCCCTGGCTGTTCCACACAGACTCCAACATCAAACATGCCCCAACTTGGGGACATAAACTTTGTTTACATAATTTTCATTGTCTAACTTAGTTTTACTGCCCACAATAAAATATGGGAGATTTGTATGGTATTTGTTTCTTGTTCATACTCCTGCATTCAACTACTGCATGAGTTTTCCTTTCTCTGTGTTTCTTCCTTAGATACATTCTCAGTTGTAGCCTATATTCATTTATTCTGTCAAATATTTCACGTGCCTCATATCTGGTACTTCTTATATTTGGGAGTACATACTACTATATGAGTTTAATATTGCTGTTATATAAAATATTACCATGATCTTAGGGCGGTTTAAAACATCATATTTCCTTCTTTACATTTCTGGATGTCTGAAGTGCAAAATGAATTTGAATAGGTCTACTTGAAATTATTGGCAGAAAAGTGTTGGTTCTGAAATCCACATAAGAATATATTTACTTGCCTTTTCTATTGCTCAGAGGAATAAAAATCACCCCAGTTGAATCATATAGTTTAATGCTTAGGGGATGGCACTATTTGAAGAGATTAGGAGGTGTGGCCTTATTAGAGTAGGTATGGTCTTATTGGAGTTAGTGTTATTGGGGGTGGGCTTTGGGGTTTTAAAAACTCAAACCAGATTTAATGTCTATCTCTCCCTGCTACCTGAAGATCTTTCTCCTTGACCACGACTGCCTGCATGTTGCCATTCTTCCTGCCATGCAGACAAATGTACTAAGCCTTTGAAACTGTAAACAATCTCCAAATGAATTCTTTTCTTTATAAGAGTTGTCTTGGTCATGGTGTCTCTTCACAGCAACAAAACACTAAGTCAGAAGTTGGTACCAACGAGCAGATATTGCTGTGATAGGCCTGTCCATGCCACATGTTGGCAGAATGTGAACGTTGGGATTTTGACTGAGAAACAGTGAACTGACTAGTAGGCTCATGGAGAATGGTGGCGCTGAGGTCAATGTACATTATAGATTATGACGGCCTGGATCAAGAGATTTCAGAGTAGATGTTAGCACGTGGCCTAGTGTCCATTCTTAGGATATTTTGGTGACAGATAAGACTGTTTTCCAACCTTGTCCAAAAATATTATTCTTGAGGCTAAATTGAAGAGTTTTGGATTAAAGTGTTGTCAGAGGAGAGTTCAAGACAGCCCAGTACTGATTGTGTCATTGTGTTGTAGGGTTATTAGTGGTCACTCTTATGGTACTCTATAATGATAAGGAATGAGATGAGCAGGTGAAATAAAGAATGTACAGCTTGGGGAGAACAGGAGCACCAAGAAGTGCAATAGAGCTAAGTCTAGTGCTCACAGAGCTAGAAAATGTTTAAATACAAGCCTGATGCTAGGAATAAACAGAGTGGTGACATTTCTTTGTATATTAGGATACAGAAAAATGTCACCTAGATGAACTGGAATGTTTGCACACTCTAACAGCATAGATAAATCTGATTGCTTTCTATTACGTTGGGCAGACTTGTTTAGTATAGTTATTTTTTTTACTCAAATGATGATATGATACTATATGCATCATATTCACACAAATACTCTTTATGTATATATTAGAATACCATTCAGCAGGTATGTAGTAAGGAAACAACACATATATGTGTAGCAATAACATCTTTCCATGGGCAGAAGAAACAGCATTTAGGTACACATTTATTTTTTCTCGCATGTGGTGTAGGAGATTCGTCTTCATGAGTGGACAAAAGTCAGTTTGCCAAGCAAAGACAAGAGAGGGGAGTCTGTGTGAGGATCCATATCACAGAAGCCAAGGGTATAATTCATCTGAAGAACTTCAGAAATGTTACACTATAGTGGAAAATCGGGTTTGGAATTTTCTTTTTTGTTGTTGTTGTGTCTCTTGGTTAGGGTATTTGTGTAATCTGACTTCATTGGAGCACTGTGGAAATGTTCCTTCTGTTTCTATATCCTTGGATAATTTAAAGTGTATTAATCATAGATCTCTGTAAATTTTGTAGAATACTACTGTCAATCCATCTGGACCTGTTTATTTGTTTAGAAAGCTGATTATTACTGTTTCAATCCCTTCCCTCATGAGTCTGTTTAGGTGCCTGGTCTCTTCTGGTTTAATTTTTGTGATTTGACTGAAACTAGGATTTCTTTCATGTTGTTTAGGTTTGATAACCTAATGAAATACAGGTTTTCAAATAAGCCTTTATAATGTTTTAAATTTCTTTGGTGTTTTCTGTAATGTTTCCTGTTTATTTCTGATTCTGTTGATTTGGGCCCACTGTCTTTCGTTTGCTTATTTGGACCAAGAGCCTGTTAATTTTGTTCTTTGAGAAATCAAACAACCAGGTCTTAGATTTGTTAATTTTTGTATGTTTGCTTGTTTCTGTTGATTTTTGTCTCTGAATTTTATTATTTCTTGCTTACAACTGGGTATTTCATTCCTTTTTCTTTCTTTTTTGTTTTGCTTTGTTTTTCAAGAGAAGTTTTCTCTGTGTAGTCTGGGCTGTCCTGGAACTCACTTTGTATACTAGGTTGGCCTCAAACTCATATAGATTCAGTGGATTTTTTCTCCTGAGTACTGGGATTAAGACAATATGTTACCATCACCCAACCTATTTTTCTTATTTTTATGCACATTCATAAGTTTAATAATTATATACCTCATATAGGACACATGGACTTTTTTGTTAATTTTGTGTCTGTCATGGACAGAGCATGTTGAGGCTGAATACAGAATGTTCAGGCAAGTTGGGACTAAAAGTCAACTTTGGCTTAGGTGTATATGGGCAGAAGGTTGGGCTGGTATGCATGATGTATGTCCTCCTGGCCTAGGACTGGTATTTAGGTGTTGGTGATGATTGGAAAGGGTGTGTAGGGGAGAGGAACAGGCAGACTCACCTTGCTACACCCACAAGAAGGATGTTTAGGATCTGTCTGGGTAGAGAAGTTTGATTGGCCTGGGAATTCTTTTGATCCATTAATTTTCTTGTGATTACAGGACTCTGCAAACTTGTGATCCAAATAAAGAATATTAGTATTGAATGACACCTAATATACTCATGGAAGTAGAGGGACGAACTGTGGTTCCAGAACCAGGGAGAGATATAAATAGGTTGGTTAGCAGAGGCAGTGAGTGACTGACAAGCTGGAAAGAAATATACTATTCTGTGGCACAGTATCATCACTGTGGTAGACAGCAATTTAATCATATATTTCAAAATGGTTGATAGAGTACTTTCAATATTCTTAACATACAGGAATGATAAAGAATTGGATGTTTTAATTATCCTTACAATTAAATATTTTATGCATGTATTTATAAGTCACATGATATATAACTGGTATATGTAATCTAAAAATAGAAACAAAGTTTTTAAAAGATGAATAAATTTTATGATCCAAAGCTCCTTTACTGATTAATACTGTCAACTGGCAGGTCCTACAATTATCTGGGACACAACCACAAAAGTACACCTTCATGGGATGAATTTGATGAGGTTAGCCTCTGTGAGGTATTATTTCATTTAGCTTAACTGAGATATGAAGGACCACCATAAAAGAGGGAGGCACCATTTCCTAAATATAAAGCAGAAAATGAGCTGAGCTCATCTATTGCTCTCTTCCTCCTTATTCAGATATTTTGATACAGCTGTGTCTAGTTTCTGCTGCCTCCATTCCTGAACATGTATAGATGGATTATAATTTTAACTCTATATGAAATAATCTTGGATTGGAAACTTCTTTGAAAGCAAGGAACAAAACACAGAAGAAATACTAATACATTTAAATCATAAACTGTGAGAATTTCTGTCTATCATAAAAGCCCAGAGGTAAAAATAAAGAAAATCATGCAATAGAAATATTTAGAACAGACGTGACAAAAAGCACAGACTTAATTTATTGACAGAATGCCTCTAATTCCTATGAAGAGAGTTAGTTATAAACCATAGAAAATATATACAAAGTAAAGGAGTACATTAAATATAAAACAGAATTTCAATGGCTTTTAATCACAAGAAAAGATGCATTACTTCAATTTAAAAATGCAAATTAATACAATAACTAAATTCCATTTTTATTATAATGGAAAAGATAAAATTGATTAACACTTTATTGGCTAGAGAAAAGAGAAACAAGTTGTCTAGTATGCTCTTAGTTGCATACTTAGAATGGCAATTGGAAGATCATTCTTGAAAGCCAACCAGAAAACAGTGTAATAATGAAAGCATCCAGATTTCAGGCATTGATGAAAATTGTCCTGTAATTGTACTGTCTGCCCTTTATGTGCACAAGCTTGAGATTGCATTCCACTGTTTTTCTTCTTGATTAATAATTACCATTTGGTGATAGTTTTATAAATCCTTAAAGAAAAAACTTACAAATACGATATTTGAAACCACACACACTTCAAAATATCAGATAGTCTATCAGCTTTAATTTTGTTTTCTTGGCTTACCATCTCCACATCTGAGCTCTCTCAAAACACTTGAACCATGGTCTCAAGTTTTCTTTTAATCTTTCCCCTGCACCTGTCTTTGTGAGCTAAAATCTACAATCATAATTTTTTAGATATGAAATTCTGAGTTGATCATAGATTTTTCTCAGAACCATGATTGTGACTATGCAGTGTGTTTTAAGTGCCACAGGTGACAGAGGGGCTTGATCTTGTTCTGACCTGGGGACCCTAGGAAATTTTCTTCTGTTTTGTTGTTCAGACATCCAAGGCCATGTTCCTCATTGAATATTTCTCCCATTGTTTATACTGTGAGTGGGTGGGCCCTTTCTGTTCATAAACCTTGCTTTCAGTTGAAATATTTTCATATTCTTTTATTATAATCCTAAGAGTTTATTGCAAAATATAACACAAGTATAGGACAATTCTATGAAATCAGTATTTGGTGTAATATAGCATTATGATCGGGGGAATAATCAAGTGGAGAGAGAGTGTCCAAATTAACATATCCGTTTTCAAGACATCCCTGAAGTCGACTTCCTGACTTATTTCAGCCATAATTCCTTTCCTTTCCTATACATAATCATTTCTGTGGAGCTGACTAAACACCTTGTTTTGTTTTTATAGATTTGTCATTAAAAGGTGATTTCTGCAAAGCTCAAATCTTCAGTTAATGCTGAGGGATTTTTTGTAAATAAATTGTAAGGAAATTATAGCAAGGCATTTTTAGATTAAAAGATGCAAGAGTTATCAATGAAAATATAATTATTGAAAGTAATTTAACTGTTTTCCTATGACTTCCCTATTGTTTTCATGTATCTAATAGTTAGGCTATGTCTAAATTTTCATCATCTATAGTCACATACCTTGTACCCTTGGCATTATAATTCTCATTTGGTCTTTGCTCTCTCATGATCATTACTGTCTCTGGAAATGCCCATGGGAATAACATTCCTAAACTCTTGATTATTGATAGGAGTCTCTTGAACATTGTCATACTTGTGAAGTGAGCTTATGACTAGATCAAAAAACCACTGGCTTACATTCATATTTTCTATCATCAGTTGATATTTCAATATCTCCTGGCTTAAAGCATTACTTTTGAAGTCCAATGCTTCAGTATACAGTACTCTTAATGCAAGTGGTGTTTTATTAATTCAGCTTTCTTCTCTCACTTGAGATTTCCTTTGAGGATTTCACCCACACAGGTTTATTCTTATTTCTAATTTCCTGGGACATGTTTGATTTCTATTTACTCCTCTTCTCTTTTCTCATTCCTCCCCCTCTTCTTTCTTCCCTCCATCATGTCCTCCTTTTCTCCCTCTTCTTCCTCCCTTTCTACTTCTTTTCCTTCCTTTCAATTCAATCTTTATTATCATTATTTCCTTTAAATTGCATTGAATTACCAGTAATTTAACTGTATGAAATTTCTAGCCTCCATATGCTTCTAGAAGCTCTCAGCCATTAGTATTCTATTCTTAAATATTTGTATATTTGTTTTCTCTTTTTTGTGAGGATTAGGCAGAGAGAAGCAATACTTAATCAGTTTATTTTCTTACAGATGTGTCTTTTACTTGATGATTTAAAGACATTCCTACTTAACACATTTAGATGCCTTTTGTTTCTTGTATGTGATGCAAACACTGACTTTAACTATGTGCTAGTTGTCATTTTTTAACACACTGCTACATGATATATAGAGATTTTAATTTTGCCTTATTACTTCCCCTTTATTGGTTTGAATCTGCTTTAATAACAGGATATTTTTATATGTATTCTAAAGTCTTTGAAGTTACCTTTTAAAATTGGTGTTTTCAATAATCTAGGATTAAAACTTTTGGTATCCAGTATGGCAGTAGTATTTCTCTCCATTTGAATAAATCCTATTTGAAGTGTTTCTTGACTGGCAGAGCATTGAGGATACATACAAATTCTGCACTCTTCCAGTGCTGGCTTGTGAGTTCATTGCTAACATCTGTTTGTCATTCTCTGGTTGGCGCTATAATGTTATATCACAAATGTCTTTTGAGGATTTCCTTAAATGTATGTGTGGGTGGGGGGAAGGTAAAGTCCTGATTATTGTTTCAATTCTGAGGGTCTTGGTTGTTCTTGACTTGTAACAATTTCATGACTGTAAACAAGCAACCATTGTCCTTCTCATTAGAACGTCATTAATTAAAGAGTATTTATTTTTCTCTTTTAGAGACAGGGTGTTACTAAAAAACACAACTTTCATCTTCAACTGGAATTACAGATATGTGCTGCTATAATATTGGTTAACGATAAATTGGAGGCTTGTTTTGATTACTTCTTTCTTCCTTATAAACTTGTCACAAGTTACCCTCTCAGAGAGGTATTGATCTATTGATCTCTCTCTCTCTCTCTCTCTCTCTCTCTCTCTCTCTCTCTCTCTCTCTCTCTCTCTCTCTCTCTCTCTCCTTGGTTTAGGTTTGATCTCAAGGCTAGATTTCTGACAAAGTGCTCATGCTGTACCACTGACCTATATTCGCAGCCCCTTCATTTTCTATTAAGCCAACCAAGTACAAGAATATGTTGAACTGGTCATGGTAGCTTAGACCTTTAATCACAACTTTAAGGAGGCAGGGGCAGGGACAAGGGCAGGGGCAGTGGAATGGCCAGTTATCTGTGGGTTACTGATCAACCTGAGCAACATATTGAGTTGCTGTCTCAAAAACAAGTACACACCAAACAAGTCTACATCAATATTTTAATTTTTACTGATGATTTGTGTGAGAATTCTTTCTATATAATCACCCATAATTTAATGTAAAGTGACAGTTACATAGAAATACCAAAGTAGAAATCCAGAGCAAGCATCCCAAGTGTCTTATAATGGACAGCTTTGACATACAATAAGTAGTTTAAATGCTAGTAAATAGATCATGAGATGTATCTGATAATCTCTCTCGGGCTATGTATGGAGGCAGAAAGACAATTAATAAGATGTCTGTTAGTCAAATGAGAAAAGGGCTTATGCTTTGGTTACTCTTCCATCAGTGAATAGTGGTTTGCCACGTAGAGTGGTACCTCATAGTTAATGGTGAATATGTGAGTAAATTAAACACAACACTAAAAGTGAAAAATCCAATGTGAAGATTCAGAGCTTCACTTTTGAGGTCAATTCAAATTGGATATGAGTTCATTAAGCTGTATAGACTTTGGGTCTGATTATTTTAGTATGCAAATTTTTATTGTTATTATAATGAAAATAAAAATGCAAGGAATGAAAGAATAAGCACATTGTCAGGTATTAATATATATATTGAGGGAGGTGAGCCCTGATTTGTTGTGAGTGTGACACAGACCTGGAAGCCAGTATGTAAACAATGACAGCTCTTGATTTTTTCAGTATCATATATACTGCAGCTCTTCTCCAGGTCTTTGTTTTCAGTGGGATTATGTACAGTAGTTGTTTGGTTTCTCCTTGTGTAGACAGAAGAAAAGTAACATTTCTCACACCAATGGATTGCATTATTCTGAGATCTAAGGGGTAAGTATCCTGAAAGCCTCAAATGATACGGTATGTTGATTTGACTACCAAGATATGGCAGAACTTGATTAGTAGTACACATGTGGAAATTTGGAGGGGCATTAGTAGAAAGTGTCCATCTGAATTACAGATGTGTGTACCTACTGAGACATACACATTATCAGAAATTACCAAACAAGCAGAGAGAGAGGTGAGAGTGGAGACACTGGACAGGGAACAACTACCCTGAAGTGTTGGTGTGTGCAATCCTACACTTCATACTGCCTAACATACTTACAGAGGATCAATTGGAAGAACAGTGACTGAAATAGTAAAGGATTTAGGTATTTTTTGTGGGGAGATGAGGATTTTTTTTCTGAAGAGAGAACAATTCATGGAAGATATGACATTCATCTTCAAGTCTTCACAAACAAGTTGGGTCATGGAGCTTTATAACTATCAAAAAGAAAAAAAGTCTATATAAATACAAGGACAAAATTCCAAAAATGTAGTCACTAGGTTAAAATTAAAGACCATGGTTGATGTCTAATGACAAAGGTTCACAGCTACAACCTAGGACTAAGGCAGAGAATAAAGGGTTTGTCAGTAGGTGAAGGGGAGATTACTCTTAAACCGGAAATGCCATATTCCATAGTGAATCTTGTAGCAGATTATGGGCACAAATATGCCCAAGAAAATAATCTGAGAAAGATCACCATGATCTAGTTTGACAGACTAGTTCAGTGAAATATAATTGGTGGTGTACTGAAATAATGAAGTGATTTCCTACTATCTTGAAACACACAAAATGGAGAAAATGGGCAATACTTTGCTATCCTGGATAGCACCGAAAATAATCTCAATCAATCAGCTCACATTTCTGAATTTATTCCAAGCTTGATAATCACTATTGAGTATGTCTCAGAAATGAATCTAGAATATAGCACTTCCCAAGCTGCTTAATAAATAGTGGGTATCAATTGCTGAACAAATGAATAATGGTGGGCATCATTTGCTGAAGAAGTGAATGACTAATATCTTTCCTTATTGGGTGATGCTCACTGGCTTCTAACTGGCCTGAGAACAGAGGGAACCTGATTCCACTAAATGTAATTTTAAGACAACTTCCCCTAAATTCAATAACACTGAAGAAGCAGGGCATAAATAGTGAATTGTAAAGTCATGGAAGCAGTAGGGCTAACATCAGTGAAGCAGCCTGTTATCACATAGAGGAAGGCTGCTCTCAGATTACATGCAGCATTTTCAGGAGAGATAGAAATGTTTTAGCTCCATGATCTTTAGGGCAATGCTGCAGAACTTGGGTGGGAGGAAGTACTTAAAATAACAGCATTTCACTGGAAAAATGCTGCTTCTACATGAAAATTTATGGGATATATTTAGGACATTGAGTGCCTCCTTTCTCTTTGAATCTTTAGTCTTAATCTCATGAGACTTATGATTCAAATGCTCTCCTTTTCACAAACCACAATTCATTGATTAAAAGATTATTTGGAGAAAAATAACTTATTTAAAATTTAAAGACTTTCCCCTTTTTTCTTACTTCCTGGTCTTTCCATGAACATTTTGTATTTGCCCATCTGTTTTCCTAACAGGCCATTTCCAAGTTATCAAACTCTACTTTTCAATTTGTTTCTCTGAAATAACCAAATATTAAACAGACCATAAATGTCATTATTTCCAAAAAGTTAGAATGGTCTTTGCATCTGTGTCTAATTCAATCATATTGCAAAGGCACATTCATCTTAGTGTTTGCCCAAAGGAATAAAATTTCTTGATGCTTAAAACATTAAATACAACTAGGAAACCATTGTGGTATTTATTCTTGATAACAAATGCATTTCTAGTGAGAACTATAACTGTTCTAACACAAATGGAGTGGTAACAACTTGATAGCTGATGCATTTCCATTGATTAGCTGATCAATACAACTTCATAAGGAATGTATAGAAAACACTAAATTCCCTTTAATTAGGCCACGTAACAACTGTCAGTTCTGGAAATGCTATTTAGAGACAGTCTCTTTGTTTGAACTTCAGCTGCTGAGTTTTTGTTATTGGACATTTACAATTTTCTTTAAATCACCAATTGTTTTAATTTAGAGTGTAGGATCATTGGCTTGCTGTTTTGCAGAGGACTAATTATTGCCTCAGTTGTACATAAAGTGTTCCTTGTTACGACAAGCATCTGAAAGGGTCGTCCTATAAATAAAACAGCATATATTGTATATAGAGCATATATACCATACAGGATCTAATAAATGACTAGAAAAGTTAGATATGACTCAGACTTCTGTTCATTCATAATAATTACTTCCTTGTAAAATAATTTTACCCAGTTGAAATATATTTTCTATTTTTTTGTTTTTGGAAATAAGGTCACACTGTGTAGCACTGGTTGACCTAAAGGTGGCCATGTAAATCAGTTGTCCTCTAACTAACAGAGATCTACCTGCCTCTGCTTCTCAAGTACTCGGAACAAAAGTGCACACCATCACTTCTGGCTCTGGAAGAATTTTAAAGTCTATTAGAATTGTAAGTTTTCATTCTTAAGCACCATTGAAATCAGATGCCTAAAAAAATTACCATGCATTCCAAAAATTTACCTCAGTCTTTCCAAAGGAATATTTGAACCTCTTTGATATAATACAAAAATAAAATTTAGGACTTCCGAACAAATTTTCCTCATTAGCAATTGATACCATCGTCATTCTATTTTATCTTTTAAATGACATTACCAGGGAGTACATATTTAAAAACAAAATGATGTATTCTAAATAAACTACCGGAAAGAGAAGGCACCTAAGCACTGTATAAGGTTTTTCCAATCTGTGTTTTCTGTAATGCTAAATAAATTGAATTTATTTCTGTCCTAAATAAAACTTCAGCTATGTGATAGATTAAAACCAAATCATAATTTATAGGAAAGCATTAAATTAGCCCATTGTTTTATAGCAGTAGGAAGCTTAGCGTTTTGAGGAAAATCTGCAGTTTTTGTTGTTACTATGTCCAGCACATGAGGTGGAAAGGATATGTCCCCTTACTATAGTGACTGAAAATGAAGTCAACTGTTCTAGCAGTAAAGCTTGGCAAGATAATTAAATGAATGATAACAAAATCTCAGCAGGGAAGTACTCATTAATTAAATTTATTTGGGAGCAAGTATAACCAAATTATCAAATTTCACTCACATTAAAAAGTGATAGTCTATAACAACTAATTACTGAAAATAAAAGGCCAGTAGTTTGAACCACTCACACAGACATAAACAAAATTACAAGCATCAAAGGACCGTCATGGCTATTGACAGCTTCCGAGGAACTCCATTCATCATCCGGTCTTGTGAAAATACTTCAGTGAGACATTCCAAAGATAAGACACCAGTGATTCTGAGACTATGCTGCCTCTAACACTGGGACCAGTTACCTCTGTCTCCTTTCTGGATGTTCATATGCATATCACTATGACTATGCCAATAGTTGTAATCACTGCTGCTGTAAGTACAGGTATAAGAATTGAGCATTGGCACTCCACTTCTGCAACAGAATCACACTGTGCACTTTGACTCCTTAGTATTGCATATGGTTGCAAATTCTTTTAAAATTTGCACAGTTGTTTTCCTTTCCTATGTGTCGAAAGCTCTGCAGTAAAGTATGTCTGGATCAACTTTTTTATTTTAAATGAGAAGAATAATTTCTGCTTTGAGCTGAAAATGTCTCTAAATTGGATATTTGTAATGATTCAGAAAGTTATATTCCAAATTACATGAAAGGTAGTGATCAAATTTCTTAAATATCTATACAAACTAGATTTTATTCACATTCAACACATTCCATAACATTAAGTCTGGGATTCAAGTTTTCTAAGGTCACACTGCAAACAGCATATATTTTTTGATGAATGTTGACAAAATTATATTAAAAAACTTGTTATGGCTTGATGTCTGTATGAATTCTAATAATCTCATCCTTGTTTTGTTGCTATTTAATTACAATAAAGAAAATCTGAAATAATAAATAATGCTAAAATATTTGTTTAATGTTAGTATTTACTTTTCCCTCCAAAGAAAATTGTCTTCTAGATAAACACAATCCAAACACATTAGATAAAACTTAATAAAAATGTCAATGTTTTGCTTTCATTTAAAAATCATATTTCAGCATTGTAGACAGCTAATGAGAGACATCATTTCATGTTCTGGAAACCAACGCTGGTAATACTAAACTAGCTACTCGCACAGCTTCACAATCCCTTTGCCCTAAAGGCTGACTGCTTTGTCTTCCTTCCGTTTCAGGAAAAAATCAAGTCATGCTCTCTTTTCTAAAATATTTCACCAAATTAATATGAAGAAAGAACTGTGTGTTAGAGAAATGTAGTATGTTTTCATAGTAAGAGCAACCACTAAAACATAGTAGGAAGAATTTTCCAAGTGAAGTTATTAATGGGTATGATTATAGTCATTCACAACTTATTTTGCTGTCACTTCTATTTCCGATCTTATTGTTTGCTTAACATAATAAAGAATGGTTTGACAATTAAACAGTGGTTCAGAGGCTCCTCAGATCTTTTAACTCATTTTCAGTGGCAGCTCACAGTCTAAAGCCTGATCAGGTCAGTCAACAAAGGCAAGTAGACAATTCTGGATTTTGAAGACTTTGTTTATGATGAAGAATTGTGTTTTAAGTAGACAATTCAAACATTTTAGTACTTAGGGATAGAAGCTATAATCATGTAAGTTTCTTGAAGTAGATTTTTACCTTTTAGTGTTCACTCAATATATTTCTCAGCACTTTCAAATTCTCTTGAAGGAGAACACTTTTTAAAATGTATGATAATCTAACCACTCTTGTATCATGAGTAGAGATACCTTACTTCATGACATATTGTACCTTTTTCTCTTTTCCAATAGATTTTTCCCCTGGTGAGCAAATCAGAACTTGTCTTTTTTTAAATGAAAATAATGGATGCCATGTTTGAATGACACCTTGGGCAAGGGGTATTTAAAATTGTAAAAGAAATATTTTTCATGAGTTCTTTGAAAATCTAAGCTAGTAGCAGTGAAATTTCAAGAGTGTCACTTGAAATGAGACCTGCCTTTCAATAAACAGCTGTGTTTTCTATTGTTGCCTGTGTTTCTTCAAAAACCCAGCTATTCTAGAAAAATGACTCTGAGACAGTCTTGTTTCTTTTGTTTTTGATTTCTTTTTTGGAAAAACAAAATAAAAGACAAAACAGCAATAAACATTTTAGCTCTTTAATGAGCAAAGACCATGTCTCTTACCATTTGACTAATTGTCATTATTCAGATTATCTTTATTTCACCCAAGGACCACTGATGTGGTCGAGATAGATACACAAAGTCCTTCCCATCAAGTAGTATACAAGTGTTTTCTTTTGTATAATAAGCTTTCAATTCTTGAAAAAGGGTAGCTGGAAAGAAAGGTTTCTGTTACTTCAGTTAGTCAGAGAAAGTCCTTTGCGTTATCTTACAAACTATCAAAATTGCTAGTCATCTGAAAAAAGGTAAAAAAAAATCACATAACTTTAGTCTAATAGAAATATAGTACAGATAAGAGAGAGATCATTTATCAGGATGTGCTCTTAAGTCCATCTCATTTTAATATAAATGTACATCTGATTACATATACAAACATTTGGAAAGGTCTGTGGTATACTGATATTACTGGTAAACAACAGGGGTTTCAGAGTTTCCTGTGGTCTTAGATAATTCATTTGAAATTGCACATGTGTGAAAGACAAACCCTCTAGCTGTTGACTCTCCTAGGTTCTGCACCTATGTGGGCCTCTACTGAGATCTCATGAGTAAATTCAAGTTAACCTCAGAGAGAAAGAGAAGCAATGTGAAGAGGGACTGAACTTTATATTGAATTATTAGTAGTAAGCATTTTTGTCATGCAACATGAGTAACTCAATTAACTGAGAACTGTAATCAGAGTGGTACTATTGGGGCATCCTTACACCCTGAAAATCTGTGGCACTTTACCTTACCAAAAGGGACAAATTTCAGAGTAACAACCTGCAGCAAACTAGAGATCTGCAGCTCACATGTGTCCAATTAGTGTGTATCTATAAATTGCTTATATGGGAATGAAAAGAACATAAAACATAGGAAATTTTCTGGGACTCATATCAGCAAGTATTCATCACTGTACCTATAGTTTCTCCATTTTCTTTAATAACTATTCCCTCTATTATCGAAACTACTGCAAATTATTTTATTGTAATTACTTTTGCCCCTTATAAAATCTTCTTTAGGTTCTACCAATTGATGGAGGAAGCTCCTATTAAAAACTCCAATGGGATGAGAAGAATTTTAATTACGACTTAATCAGCAGCACAGCCACCAAGCATATAAATTATCATGCACATCGTGCTAAAAAGATCCAGTCTCCTTGATCCCCAAGCCTTAGTACTGACAGCACTTATGTGATAATGTTGTACCCTGCCAGTCTTTAAACTTCTTTTTTTTTACTGGCAATTTCAGCGTGAGCCTTTGCTATGTCACTAACAGCATCGGTGCTCTGTGTACTTATGCAAATATGGTCTACACAATAAAAGGGCTCCAAATGAAAACTGACGAAAATTATCTGACATTCCATTGGTGTGTCCCTTGTGCATATTCATAGTTGATTTTATTTTTGCTTTTCTTTTTTGTTTTTTTAAAGTATTTCATACACAGTACTTTCCTGTTTGATGTTCCACATGCCTAACTTCAGTATGTAACTTAATCTTCAACAAATTAATTCTTGAATGTGAATGAAAAGGTATCATTCAGAACAATTGCTTCAAGCAATTGAAATTTGTTTTGTTAAAGTTGATTTGTGTTTATATCTATATACAATTCATTTTTCAAAACCCCCAAAGTTCTTGATATGTATATTCACATCATATTCCTCCTTAGTTAAATAGTGAGAGTCTTCCAAGTTGAAAGCCAAGGAATCTTCAACAATCTTTTACTGCACTCCATCAGAAAAAAAATCAGTTTGTCTCTCTCATCTGGCTATACCCTGGTTGTTGAATGTGAATGGGGGTGGGGGTGGGGATGGGGCAGTGTATTGTTCTGTCCTCCAGTAAATGTGTTGAATGTGTGCAAGGGCTGAATCCCTGGTATAGTGTTGGGAATCATTGTGATGGTGTTAGGTGTCATTAAGGGAACATCATCAGGTGACCTCCTCATAGCTAGGGTATAATCTGGGGGGCAGGCGGTCCTGAGAACCACCTCGTGTGGATGGATGGACTCACACTCATGCTCCAAGTCAGTGTGCTTCATTTGGAGGGACATGATCTCTTCTTCTGGAGCGTGAGTCAAGTCGTTGGTGGCTGTGCGCTGAGGGCTGCACCTACGGTGCACGTCATGTCTCCTCTTATCCTTCTTGTAGTACAGTGCTGCGAAGGCCAAGATGTTCAGAAACAGGAGAGATGCTCCCACAGCAATGGTGACACTCAGCTCTGTGGAGTAGTCCCTCTGGTCCACCGAGAAGGGACTGGGTTGTTGTTTGGGATCATCCTGTTTGGCAGTGGGAAAGGCTGATGTGACAGGTTGTGAATTCTTCCTTGTAGGTCTGAGAGTGATGTCCGTTGATGGCACTTTAGTTGTTGTCGAGGTATACTGAGAAATGTCATTCAGATTATGTAGATGAGGTACCAGCTCCAACCAGAGATTAACCTTATTGGCTCTGTAATGCTCTTTGACTCTTGGTTTTAATCCAATATGGAGATAAAGTTGGTCTTTCTGGGAATATCTGGTCCATGCTACTTCTTCAAATCGGTTGGGTTTGGTATGAATGAATTTTGTGTCTTGAGGAACTGGTTGATTTGGGTCACTAGGAAAAATTGTGGAAAGACAAGAAAGAATCTATGAGGACAATACATTTTACCCTTTTCCTTAGTCAAATCACTATTTTTAATGTCTAATTAAAGAGTTGATTTAGCAAAACATTAGATAATGTTTTAACATTAACTTGACTCATTTAGAAATTTTAGTTAAAAATGATATGGATGATAATATAAAGCTACCAAGTTTCACATTCTTGTTTCATGATCATTTAGAGATGAACTACCATCTATGCAATGTGCTTTTAATTATTGTAGGTCCAGAGCAAAAGCTTGCCAATATGAATCTGATCCCTGGAATCAATGCAAAGTTGGGAGGAAAGAGCAAGCTCCACAAAAATTGTCTTCTAACATCTACAAGTACACCACAGCATTTCTTCCCATGAACATACAACATGTGTGTACATGCACACATTAATTACAGTAAACAAAAGTCTAAAGTATTTAATATTCACACAATAGGTTTAACTTTTCTTAAGGCAGTGCAACAGAAATCGCATTGCATTGAAAAGTGAATTCAGGATTTGTGACTGGCATATGAAGGGATGTATGTCACTACGGTGCTTACGTACCCTACACAGGAGTATCTGTCTGAACTGTCAAAATCTCAGGTTCCTTTCTGTGTTTACTGAGATCTATAGAATCCAAGATAAATGACTAAAATGCATACAATATTATGAACTGGTAAGTACTAGGACACAATGTTTGTCACTAATGAAAAAAATCAGTGATGCTATGGCCTATGCCAGTGAAAAGCCAAAGTAATATTGTCCTGGAGTAATAAAATAAAGATACAATAAAGTTCAAAGGTGCAGAAGTTGTAAGATAATAACTATTGAAAACTCTATAATATAAAAGTAATTTTTATTATGAGGCTAATACACTGCTGGTGTTGAAATATTACGTTGGACTAGGAATGTAGCATAGTGATGAATTGTGTGCTTTGACATGTGAAAAGTCCTGGTTTCAATCTCTTGCATCATATAACAAAGAAACAACATACACAAAGAACTATATTAGAAAATTTAAACAATATGTACTTTGTTCAAGAATACTTAAAATGGTATTTCTTATTAAAATTATAGCAAAGTTTATTTCTCAGATACATACCCCGTTTTAGCAAAATTTGTCCAATATGTCATTACTACTGCACTCAACATCACATCATTCTTGGAGAAATTGCAAGGAAACAACTCTGTAGGGCCAATCATGGGGATTCCCAACACATAGGGAACCTCATCTCCGTGAGCTGCATCAGCCCAAGCTGGAACTTGATCTGTTTGGCAATGATGATAAAAGGCATAGAAATATGTGGGTGAACCAAAGTTTGAGTGAAGGTCTGCCGTAGCTACAGCAGGTGCTACCCACTGATGGTCCGTAAACAAAGCCAACAATGTCTTCCTTCTGGTTTCAGGGTTATGGCGATCAGCCCAGTCAGTATACATGAATTTAATGGTTTCTCTCAAAACATCTTTGCCTTCAGGATATCCATATAAATTATCAACAAAATTAGAAACAGCAAAGTCAAAATCGCTGGCTGATATACCATCATCACTATCAACTATATTTTCAACGAACTTCAACCCTTCTCCTTGGTTAACTCCTAACATTATATCATAGTTGAGGAATTCTCCTTGTTCCATCAGTATCTGAGGATCATCTGGGATTACATCACCGTCAATCACAGGTCCAAAGGCTATGTGGTATCTGGCTGGTTGAATATCTTGATCAACAAGCTCTTTGTAAGGCTTCTTCTGCAGGCATTCCACTAACTCTACTGTATCGGACACATTGCAGCCAACCTTTGTGGCCAGCATTCTAGCATATTTTGCAGGCTGGAAACTAACAGCCCAGCTTGAAAGGGCTGTTCCACTCTGAGCTATTGCTCGTTGAAAAAGTCCTATGGGGAAATCAACGGAGAGCTTCAGGTGATGTTTGAAGAATGTTACAGACCCCAAATAACAAACATTTTAGACATGTATATAATATCCCAAGTACAAGTAAAAAAATAACAGTTACTTCATGTCTAAGAGAAGGTACATAATGTTATCCCCAGGGTATAAAACATCAGTGAAATTTGTCCTTGTCTTATAATTCCAGCAGACTTTGCTTTGGGTTTTGAAATTTTGCAGTCGCAAAGACACAGTGAAGAAAAGAGGTGAAGTTGGAAAGCATGGGTATTTAAAGGACTCGGATATTTTACTTCATGATTCCTAGACACTATCATTAACAGCGACAGAACCAACTGACTCCTCTGCCTCATCACTGGCCTATATTTTCCATTTGGAATATCACCAGCCTGTATTGTCTATTTAGAGTATTTCTTTCTACTTGACAGCATATCTATCTTCACTCAAAGTGATTATGTAATGTTTGTTTTAAGTAGATTTTGCTTAAAAAGTATTGTTTGGGCCTCACACAGATATTAGGATTAGGGACTAGTCAATACCCTGGGGATATCCCTGATATCACACAAAACAGAATATAACTTATGACATACTATTACTAGATCTCTCTAGCAGATATCGTACAATGAATATCTATCTGAAGAAGAAAACCTAAGAAGTGCTTCACTAAGTTAGACAAAAACATAGGCAAGAACAGCGTGAAAGTTTAATTAAATTTTTTCTACTAGTAAATTTGTGCTGCTGTATTTTATCATAAAACATGAAACACACATGGGGCAGTTTTTTTTACTTGATTCATTTAATGGCTATAAATTATGACTCTGCATGCAGTTTGGTAACATATATATTCTATTAAAATTTACAAATACACTTGATTCACTGAAGTATTTGCAAATAGCATTCTTTTAAAATACATAGGTTATCTATCTTTATTTTAAAAATCATGCTGATCATCCACTTCCAGATTTGGGTAAGTTTTTATTCATTTAAAAAACATGCTCAGTCATTTATATATATTAAAAAGAATGTAGACCTTTACACAAAATGTGGAAGTCAGGTCTGAATTGGTTCCACCATTTCTCAGTAAATGCATATGTATTTACATATGTCATTTATGTGATTTAAGACAATTTTAAAAACACTCAAAGTGTCAAACAATGCTGAATTAGTTTTTTGTTATTTTTGGTTTCTTGAATTCATTTTGCTTGACAGGATAAAGTTCACCAGAGCAAATGGTAAACATTTTGGCAATGTAGCAAATGTAGGAGCTGTTGATATTTGAGCAGACCAATGATTTACTAATTAAATATTAATGGCTAAAATAAAACAGGTCAATAAAATAGTATTCTTTCTTATCTCAGGCACTCAGTGACATTAAATATACAAACAGTTATTTATGATATTATGTTAATTATCATTTGAAATATGGTGACCAGAAGATCCCAAGAAAGCCATTTATTTTCTCTTTTGTGAGATGGTTTTGATAAGTACATGTGAGATGAGGGGGACTTCTGGAAGCTCCAGACCTGAGAAGGATAGAATCCATCATTGGATTTATAGCTTTAAAAATACAGGTCTTCCTTGCAGAGACTATTTGACAATTTCAGGAATTGTCTATGCCCTTCCTGGTAGGGTCAGGAAGCTCTTGAGAGAGTCTTTAAACTAGATCAAAATCAAGTTTAAAACTCTAGTCAGACACAGATATATTTCCTTAAGGAATGTGGTGGAAGGTGACACTCAGTTGTTTACTGAACCATTTGTCACTGCCTACTGTTCTACCAAGTGATGAGCACCTGGTGAATTGATTTGTCTGCTTATTCAGTGCTCTTGTGATACTGGGACCATATTTGATCAACTCAAGAGTTCTTTGTAGGTTGCCCAATACTAACTTAGCCAATATTGGCACTTATTTCCTACTAAGAGTGGAAGAATCTAATCTTCTTAATTATAAAAACTCTAAATTTATCACTTCAAAACAAGCAGATTTATTATAGAGCAGCACACCTATTCAATTAAAACTTATATCTTTAAAGTAATGTTACTTCAAATCTGAATCCTACTGTTGTTAAGTGAGATGCCATGTAATCAGTGATGCCAAGTTAAGGGTATATAATATGTGACATACTTATTAATGACTATCTGTTCTCTTAGAATTCCAAATCTATCTTTGATAACTAAAATGTGCTATGAGAATATACTGCCTGTAATTGAGGCTGGAGAGATGGTTCTGTGTTAGAGTGTAATACTGGAGACTCTTGCTGAGGCCAGATATTAGTTCCCAGCACCCTTGTCCAGTGACATTCAACCACCTGTAACTCTTATTTCCAGAGAGTCTATGGGCAGTGGCATTTGCATACATATGCTGCCCCTTCACATATGTATACATAATTACAAATTACAAAAGTAAGTATTTTATTTTTGAAACTGATATTCTCTATAAATTTTACTTGACAATGAATAACCTGCTCTCCTCATACATACAATAACAACTTGGAAACAGAAAATCAAAGATGGTTTTTGTTGATGAATATTCTGTTTTCTTCTTTGTTACATATAAATAATAAATAGAAAGCATTTGCTTTGTGAGTTTCCTCAAATAGCTTTTCCGTTCTTATATTTAATAATGGAATTGTAATCCAGTCAAAATGGAATTTCTAATGAACTAATGAATGCCTGGTAAGATGGCATGCCCTTTAGAGAAAGTACTAAAAGCCAGAAAATTGAAATAAAAATATTTTATGAACTAAAGAAGACTAGTGTTCCATGCCACTTTGCTAAATTTTAGGAGGAAAAAAATAAATTTAAGTTGAAAATAGAAAAACCACAAAACCAAATGTGTTTTTCTTTGTAATCAAAGGCTCTGCTAGTGACCTCAATGCTTTGACAATTTTGGATCACGCATGCAAACTAATCAAATATCCATTCTTTCCTTAGGCATCAAGAAGAATCACATTTCCACACAAGCCAGTTTTTGACTGCCTCATTAGTTCCATACTAATAAAGACCTTCAAGTATCAATGACTGTATGTTTAAAATCCTTGATTGTGATTACTGCTAAATGGAGAGGACAGGGTTGAGAGTTTCTCTGACTATCCCTCAAATCACCCTTTGACAAAAAAGAAAATGACTGCAATGCTAGGTATTATGAAGTTGACTTAGAAGAGTATCTTACCCAGCTCCACAAAAGACAAAGAGAAGATTCTGACAGAAATGTAAACATGCACAGAAAAGCTAAAGAGACAGCTTTAAACAGTTACTAAGCCCAACCCAACACTCAGTTGGAACAAAGAAATATCTACAGAGCATCACGTAGTACTGATGGTGGTGGCATGCAGACACCAAAATTGTCAAAATTTGCAACCTGCTTAATACCTTTGGTTGAATTGCTCCAACGGTTACCTTCAGAATAATGGGATAAAGTCAGCAGGTTGACACATGAACCCCCAGCGCCTGATCCAAACACAGTGATTCGCAAGGGGTCCCCACCAAAGAACCCAATGTTCTCGCTAGTCCATCTTAGGGCCTGGATGAGGTCAAGGAGCCCGTAGTTTCCTTTGGCAGCCTGATCCCCTGTGCTCAAGAAGCCTGGAAAACACAAGAAAAAAGAAACCTTAGGATGATTGTTGCAGTTAATATGATTTAAACGTACATAACATCAAGTTTAAGTTACGAGGCTTGTTCTGATCACCGTAAAAGCCAAGTACTTTGGTGAAAGGTGTTTCCATTCAGATAAAATCAGTGATCTTAGGAAGAATGGTAATGACTGAAGCATGCAAAGTGATGTTTGCCTCCCCTAAGTGCTTCCCAATTTATACAAAGAGAAGGCCCAAAGATGAACAAAGGCAATAGAAAAGTCTGACAGACACAAAGACACCCTTTGTCAGAGGGGAGGCCAAATTCTTGATGATAGGAAAGCATGTAATAAAACCTATAAGACTGTCTATTTTGTATAAAATGTGAAGTTACTCCCCAAGTTGCTTGTGCTTGAACCTGGTGACAACACCCATGTGGAATGGTATGTACAATGCATGTAGATAAGAGGTACTTGTCTAAGCTTTGCATGAAACGAAGTCTAGGGGTTTCCTGAAATTCTAAAGCAATTCTTTGCATGTGTGTGTATCTACACATGTTTAGCACAATGGGCCACAGGTAATGAGTGACTGTGACAGATAGACTGTGTGAACACAGACTTTGGCCAGTATAGAAAAGAAAAGGCTTTAGAAGTGTTCAGACCTTGATCATCTCTAGAATGCTCAAGACTGCAGAGCTTATATGTACAGCAATCTGTGCATTTGGAGAATAGGTACAATCAAAGTAGAGAAAAGACAGGAATGACCTTAACTAACAGGGTGCCATAGGTAACTAGAAAGAGATATGTTTGAACTAAATGTTGTGGGCATAGATGTAATCCCAACACTCACAGGTTCAAAGACAGCACATTCTACATAAGAAGTTCCAGGCCAAGCAGTAAACATGTAAAAATACCACAGCAATAAGAGCTAAGTGATTTTCTTATAACTGGAAAGTATAAATGGAACTATTTTAAAACTATGTCAGCATATTCCCTTGTTGCTAACATGGTGGATGTTATAATGTGTTTATTGCACACTATAAAACAGAAAATGAAAAATACTACCTAGAATATTGTATGCTATGAGCTATGCATATCTATGAAAAGATGTCCCTGAACCTGGACACTATGGAGCACAGTTATAGTCTTGTTATATATAAACTGATGAGTAATACTCAGAGATTCACGGCAAGTTTATGGAAATGAATTTTATGCCTCTCAATTAATGCAGACATTGCTGAGTCAGATGAGTCAATATGCTGATTAAAACACTTGACTTGATTTGAAATATACATTTGTCTTAGAAAAGTGGCTAGGAAGTCATTTTTAGTTTTGGGAAAAAACTATGAGAACAATACAAAGGAGTCAATAAACTTATCATCAAAATTAAAATATGGACACAGAATACCTGCAGAATTTAGTCAACTTTGGAAGTTGGTTCCTCTTGCCTCCTGCTTTATTGACATAGGATGTCCTGTGTGTCTGGTGCCAGCTCTGGATTCCCCCAAGCTTGGCCCATGAGTTTGAGGCAGATTCTCCCATCTCTGCCATTCAGGCCTCTATTTTGAAACTGTAGGCATGCTGGGGTTACAGATACACACCACTGTATTTGGCTTTCTTTATGAATCCAGGGAATCAAACTTGTGCTTCCTGGGTTGCTCACTTTGCCCACTGATCTATCCTCAGGCCCAACCAGAAATTCTTACCACTCATTGTAGGGAGAAATAGATGAAGTTAACCCTCTTCCCCAAATGCCTTTGAAATGAAAATTGGTATAACCTTCTTTTCCTACAAGCTAAATACATTTTCAGATATAAATGGGTAATCACTAGCTGGGTGTTATTTAAATATGTATGAGCCTTGTGCTGATCATCCTGCACTCAGGAGAACAAGTAGGAAGATCACCTGTTTGAAGCCAGGAGAGACTATACAATAAAACACTGTAAAAACATGCAGCCTCTAGTAGTGTACGTGTGTGTGTGTATGTGTGTGTGTGTGGTTTTGCACATATTAACACCAAAAAGTTATATGTGAGTTTGTGATAATGTTTTAACAAATATATTTTGAAAAAATATCTCTCTGGTCAAGCCTATTAGTTTTTTTTTAATTCACAGAATAACTGGAGGGAATTTTCTACAAGTCATCTTGCCTAGACAGTTTTGAATTCTCAATTAGAGAATACTATATAAAACAAAAACTTGCTGAGAACTCTTTAAACTTTATTTGTTTTATCTGAGCCATAGATTTGCATTTGTGAAAAATTCTGTTAACCTGTGAGATCAGACTGCTGTGACATCATGAAATTCGAAAACAACATTGTGGAAAGATTTCCACCACTTAGCTAGAAAGCTCTGGAATGATGCACAATTCTTTTTTTTTTTTTTGATTTTTCAAGACAAGGTTTCTTTATTTATTTATTTTTTACTTATTTAGGTTAGAAACAATCTTGTTTCACATGTCAATCCCAGCTCCCTCTCCCTCCTCTCCTCCCCTGCCTTCCCCACCAGGTTCCCCCACTCCCCCACTCAATCTCCACTCTGATCACAGACAAGGTTTCTCTGTGGCTTTGGAGGCTGTCCTGGAACTAGCTCTTGTAGACAAGGCTCGTCGTGAACTCACAGAGATCTATCTGCCTCTGCCTCCCGAGTGCTAGGATTAAAGGCATGTACCACCAATGCCTGGCTGATAAAGAATTCCTATGTGTATGACTATGTGTATGAACATTAGTGAATCATTGTATTAGAGTGAATAAGTAATAAAACTGTGACAATCTAGGTAGTTGCACATGAGTGAATCATTGTATTAGAATGAATAAAGTAACACAACTTTGACAGTCTAGGTAGTTTATTACCTATAATTTCATATAAAAATTGTACTCAGGCAGAGAAATGAATTTTAAGTGTAGTTTAAGCCACTCAATACAAAATAAGAATTTATATTTATTCTCTTATGAAATAACACTGAAAAGCTTCAGTTACATTAAAATGACTTTCAATGTCCATACAGAATTGATTTAATAAAAACATCATCATTTAGTATATATCATGCAGTGAACTGCTGTAATGAGACAAATGACTTCACAATAACTAAATATTGTCCCATCTAGAATTCCATTTTAGTGTGTCATATTTACAACATTGGTTGATGGGTCAATTTGTTTTTTCATGGAACAATACTGAAAAATATACCATATCTCTGAAGAGTAGTTCTCTTTTTACACATAGTTAAATTGTTTAGTATTGAAGAAAATAAAGCAGGTGTGAAATATTATTATTGAACCATAATGATGATAATGGAGCCAAGTATATTGTAGAAGTCAAAGTCCTTGTTGCAGAATGTCCAAGATCACTCTGTCAGCCTTCATTGTTACTCAGTTCTACTTCATGTATATTTGGGGACATCTCTATACCTATCATCTATTGTTAAACTATCTGTACTATCTGTATTATCTACTTAGTACATCTCTCTATTAACTAATTTATATGCTTATAATCTTTCCATGTATGCTTTTAACTAAAACTTATCAATCTGTCATTCACCTATCTACTATCTATCTAATTCCTATCAAGTACTTTCCTATCTACTGTTTGCTATTTGTCTATATCTATTGATCTATTGATTGATGTATTTATCTATCATCTATACATTTTCTTTACTATCTTCATCATTATCTGTCTATATATATTGATCTACTTATTTATCCATCATTCTATATATCTAATCTTTTTGAAGTCAAATAGTTGTAATATATAACTGACAGTATCACCTCAAGTTTTATATTAGGGAAAATGATGCCGCTTGCCATTCCTAACTGCAACTAGAGAGTCAATTGCATCTCCACAGACTCAGTAGAATGACACATTTGTATGAATTATTTGATTCCTGATGCAATCATCAAGCACTATTCTAGGATTCATTCAGGGCTTCAAAATAAGGAAAGTTTAACAAATTGATGCCTTGAAAAAGACATGGTTGACTAATTACCAAAAGATAAGTTTTGGTGGAAATTTTTTCTCTCCTGTTATTCAATGGCATAGTTCTATTTTTAATTGAGTGTGGTACTACATCCTTAATAGCAGAATAACTTCAGACAACTCTAGCTAGAACTTCAATTTGAATCACCTGACTATGGTCTATCTTCAGGGGATTCAATTATGCAGCACTGTGAACGCACTACTTACCTTCTTGCATAGATTTCCCCTCGGTGTCATTTAAGTCACTCTTAATAAATCATCCCACACCTCACCTGCCCTTCCCAAGCATTCATTGTCAAGTCCTAAAATATGTGAATAATGTATGTCCTCACACGATGACACATTATTGTTTTGTAAGATAGAACCGCAAGGACTACAAAACAATCTATTTTCAATCTGTTTTCCATTTTCAAGGAGATAACCCCTTCCCTATTCAAATATCCAATTCATTTGACTTATAAAAATATAGTCTTCAAAAAGATATTTACCATTTGTTTTTAACACTTGCAATTTTAAGGCTGTCAAAGTTCATAATGGCAATTATGTTCACAATTATTTTGCTGTCTACTGTAATCTACAAAATATTTTATCACATTGAATACACTTAGTATCATTCCCACACAAAAACTCCTTTTATCAAAAGAACATAATTCTAATTGTTGTTCTGATATTGGAAGACTGGTTCAAATGATCTGATGAGATCTACAAAAGAGATCTAGCTTAGAATTTGCCATTCATGAGATCCAAAATGACAACTATGACTATTATCAGGTGTCAAAGACAAGTAAGGCAACTGAATATGGACACATATACACTAAAATAATAAAATCAGGTACAGGTTAATATTAATTATGCAAGGGAAAATAAGCAAAAGGTGATAATTGTTGCATTAGAGATAGTGGCAAAGGCTCCTGCTATTGAGAGCTCTCTGAAACAAGGTGAACATGATGACAAAGAGATTATTAGTGACACCATGTGTAATCAGGCTTTTACTACAAGAAAAAGTAGGGAATGCCTTTAAAATGTGTCAAGTGTTTCAA